CAGGCGCGGCGGGGGGGGGCTCCGCGGCTGCTCGCGGCTGCTGGAAGCGCTCCGTGGGCTGGCGGGACTCCCAGGGTGGAGCGCGGCGGCCCCGGGGAAAGAGGCGGCCGCGGCAGTCCCGCTGCGGGCCGGGAGGCGGAAGGAAGGGGCTCGGCGCGGCTTCCCCCATGCCCTTGGGGGGCTGCATCCGCCGCCCTTGCGGCTTCGTGGCCCGAGGTCCGCCCGCCCCGTGGAAGGTGCCCTGGCGGGGCGGCGCTCTCCTCTGCCGTCAGCAGGACCCGAGGTAGGGCTGAACTGGCGGCGGGGCAGGAGCCGAGCGCGGGCGGGAGTGCAGGGAGCGTGGTCTGCGGGCTTTTCGTGCGGTGTTGAGCGCCTCGTGGTGTTCGGCCGAGGAAGGCGGAACTGGGTCGGTGGTGGTGGCGCGGGTGAGAGCTGCAAGCGCGAGGCTGGCGCGGCGGGCGAGCTGGCGAGCGGGCGAGTTCCCGCTCGGAAGCCTGGCTTCGTTCAGAAGGGCTGGCAGGAGTCCCTTCTGCTGGTTTACCGCTGCTGGGGGAGAGTGTTCCCGTGAGGAAAAAAAAAAACACAGGAGGAGCCAGAGAAGTACCCTTCGGTCTGAAACTGTCCTCTCCTGCTTGCTGGTCTTTTTCAGAGTAAAACGGTTAGCTTTTCATATCCTAAAGGCTACACGTTTAAATTTTCAAAAAACGTGGATTTTGTGTTCTTGCAGAGGGGAGAGGCACACTTTCCCCATATGATCTCAGCCTCTGATCATCTGTGGTGCAGCCCTTGGGACGTCTGAATTCACCTATCATCCCCAGAATCTGATGCCCCAAGCTGGACGTGATATTTGACATGAAATAATGCTTCTCTCTTACCACCTCAGAAGGACTCCTTCTGAAGTACTTATGTACAAGAGGGAAAGGTTGCTAGAGAGGAATTCCACTTACTGGAATTGCTGTGCTCAAATGAGTGAAAATGCGTAAACGTGCGCATACCATAGGAAGCTAGAACCTCTTTGCTCTGTAGCGTTTTGTCGTGTATCTAATGCAAGAGTTGGAGTTCGCAATACGCAAGTAAATTTTCCGTTCCCTAAGTCTGGCCTCTGAAGCATGTTTGTGTTTCCATCGTGTCTTCTTTGGGCTCCCTACAGAGAGGTGGGACTTGTCGTTTAGGTCCCTGCTGACATACGAAACGGGGCTTAAAACTTCTTCAGAAAATTCAGAGGGGAATCACAATGCTTGCAAAACTGAAATAGCCTGTTAGTGTCACTCCTGTGGGGTGACTGATAGAAGGGCGTGTGAGTATTTGGATCTTACGTTGTTACAGGGTCAGTCCCACTGTCTTACTGTGTTCCTCTGAGCTGCTGTCGTTGTCTGCCTTTGAAATGGTGTTTTGTTTTATAATTCTATGAATGTAGTTGTGTGGCTTTAATTAAAAAAAGAAAAACCTTAGAATGGTAGATCAGGGGCTTGTAGTTACCACCTGTCTTGCTCTTCATCTTTCCCTGATTCACCTTGTTGACTTTCATTAGTGCTAACAGATAAGCCCTGCTTCAAATATGTTGCCTTGCTTGGACATGGACAGAAGAACTGAAAGGAGTGGAGGAGTCAGGCTTTCCCGTGAGAAAGAGAAAGGACTCTGGTGTGCACGGGGGGAGTGACAGGGCCTGATAGGCCTTGGCTCAAGGGAGAAGATAAACTGTTAAATAAGTGGAAGACCAGTGGTGCTGTGCTGCAGGTGGCTGGCTATAAAGGGGTTATTAAAATACCTGTTGCTTCCCACATTCTTCAGTCTACATGTGATATTAGTGGAAGTTTTGGTAGAAAGAGCCAAGCAATGTTTCATACTCAGTTTTTGAGAAAATTCAAAATATTTTCTAGCACAACCTATACTTTGTTTTTCTTTTTTTTTAATACTGTCAGCAAATAAAACTTCAGTACTAAAATAATTATAATTTCAGTATAACAGGTTTGGAAAGTGACAGGACCCATATGAATTCTCTAGTATCATTTCGCATGAACTGTAGCAGTGTGAGCTGCAAATCTAAATAACTGTTAGTGAATTTTTAAGAGATGAGGAGCATTCACGTTACTCTTACTAAGCTAAACAATTAAATCTACTTTCAAGTCAAGTTTGCCTAGTATGTATGACATTTTTATGTTCTTTTGTGTGTGTGTGTATTTGAAAACCAAAAGGTAAGTTAAAGCTTAGATGTCCACAAAACAGAACTATTGGTTTTATTTGTTTCTTGAGAGTGCTAGAATATCTCTCAGACTTCTACATTTCATCTTTGGACAGTAATATTCTCCTTTGTCCTGAAACCAAAGGCGTGGATTCTCTGCAGAAAACTCTTAGTTGTTAAGAATTTCTGTACGCAGGAGAGGGGATCATCAGTAATTCTCACTGTATCTGCCATTTTACCTGCTCGATACATTTTCTTATGACAGAAGGATCACTGTGAGCTGGTGCTAATTCTATCAGCTGAACTAAAATGTGTTTGGATTTTACTTTAAGCTGAACCACTTTCTTTAGATTCCTCACAGGGGCTCCTGTCTAGGTGGAAGCTCAGGGAGGTTCCACACAGAGCCTACTTCAAAGAGGCTCATTCTGGGTCCTCAGATCACCTGTAGCTGTTCCAACTAATTCAGCCAATTAGTTTAAATAACAGTTACACTGTTCGGGGCAGCTACAGCTGCTTTAATGCCTGCAGGTAATTCTCATGGCTGTTGCTACCTCCGAAGACACACAAAGGTGCCTTAGCTGGTATCTTAATTTTCTGTGTCTTGAGGGGAGGGTGTGGTGGTTCTTTTGTTTGTTTGCTTGTTTTTGTTGAGCCTGATGGGTTAAAAAACCATGAAGTACTACTGGGTAACCTTCACCATGTCAACTATTTTAGTTTTGCAATTGTGAGTTAAAGCTTCCAAGTTTACAGGTACTGTGCAGGATGAGTGGATTTCTTTTTGTAGTAATCAATTTTGATCTTAAGTTGACAAATACTGTTCAATTGTGTAGTTAATTGGGTTAAGACTCCAAATTTTTATTCTCTGCAACACAGTTTTGAGATATGTCAACTTCTAGGAGGGTCTGGATTATGTTCTTAGGCCGGGTTTGTGGCTTGATGTTACTTCTGCAAAGTTTTGCTTGAAGTATTTGTATGATCATGTATGTTGCTGAGGGTGAAGTTCAGCTATTTAGTAGCAACTGCAGCATTCAGCATCAAATTAAGTTCTAATTGGATAAAGGAAACTTAGTGTACCTATTTCTTCTGTGGAAGGAAAGAAAACTACCCGACAAACCCTGCAGGCTCAATATGTACTTGTAGATGTTCTCTCTGATACTAACCTTAGTGTTTTTCCATGCTGTGAGCAGTGGAATACATAATACTTTCATATAGGTTATAGCTAAGCTTAGATGTAGCATTTTTAATGCACGTTACTAAAAATTCTCTTGCATGTTGGCTTTATTAAGTCAAGTACATTGGGTGAATCTCAGGCCCTGGGCTTTGTTTGTCCTGTGAAGCTCAACATACAAAGTTACCTGCTGTAATGGGTATGTTCAGAGTCAAATGTTCACAGCTGACTTTACAGAATCTAATACTGAAATTATACAGCACTGAAACCTGTATTAGGGAATCAGTATAAGCTAGCTCTTGAAAAAAAACAAAACAACAACAACAAAACCCCCAACAACACAAAACCCACAGCTTTTTCCAATAGTGTAAAATAATAAGTAGGCTTTTATATTCAGCTGTAGAGATCTGTGTGAGAATTGAGTGTAAGTGATAATGGTGGTGGTGATTACTGTTATATTCTTTTATTGCATAACCGTTCTCCTAAGGATAACAAAAATAAGATTAAAAACACTAGTCTAACGCACTTTCATTTAATGTTGGCTTTTTTTTTTCCCAAGCTGTCACAGTTTTTCGCTGCTGGTAAGCTAAATTAAGAGACTTCTACACTTAGAATTTGTATTCAGAGAGTAAAATGTTACTTGCCAGCATCTGAAAACAAGTTGAAAGCTAAAGCCAGGTACATAATGTCTTCAAACATCTGTTGAGTTCCTAGGCTGTTTTAGAATCACACAATGCCAGGGTACAATTTATTCTAGTTCTGGTAAGTTATTGTTTGTTTAAGCTTCAGTAGCAGGACTGCTCTGACCCATTCTGTTAAATAACAAGTCACAGGTATCCATGCCATTTTTTTTGTCATGCTGTCTTGTGCTACTGAGTTGTTCTTTACTGAATAAATAAGTGGATATACAGAGTCTTAATGTAGGTTTTGGGGCTTCTTGGTGTTCTCTTTCTCCTATAAGAAAGTGCTGTTACCCTATCTTTTGACTTCAGGACTGTGGTAGGGTTAACCTTGGCCAGCAGCCAGAGCCCACCCAGCTACTCACTCCCCCTCTTGAAGAGGATGGGGGGGAGAAAATAGGATGGACAAGCTTGTGGCTTAGGATGACACAGGAAGGTTGCTTACCAGTTACCATCATGGGCAAAACAGACCTGACTTGGGGAAAATCAATTTAGTTTCTTGCCAGTTAAAATAGATTTGGATAGAGAGAAACAAAGACAAAAAAATTTAACCACCACCTTCCCCTACATCCCTGTTTTTCCCAGGTTCAGCTTCACCCCTTCATTCCTGACTCTTCTACCTCCTCCACTCTGTGCAGCGCAGGGGAATGGGGGGTGGGGGTTGTGGTGGGTTTGTAACGCTTCATCTCTGCCTCTCCTTCCTCTTCATGCTTTGCCCCTGCTGCAGTGTGTGTCAGTCCCGTGGGCTGAATTTTCTTCAGGACATACCCATCTGCTCCGGCATGGGATCCTCCACAGGCTGCAGTTGTGGGTATCTGCTCTGCCGTGCAGCACCTCCTCCCCCTCCTTCTTCTCTGACCTTGGTGTTTGCACTGCTATTTCATGCTCTTTTTCTCTCTTCCTCTGCCTGTCTGGCATTTTTGTCCTTTCTTAAATGCACTTTCCTAGAGTTGCCACCGCCTTGGCTGCTGGGTTCAGCTATACCCTGTAGTGGGTCTGTTGGTGCCAGCTGTGTCCAGCGTGGGCAGCCCCAGCCTCTTCTCATCGGAGGCCATCCTGCAGCCCCCTGCTGCCAGCGCCTGGGCACCCGCACCTAGTACAACCTAGAGATGCCTGTTGTCAGTCACTCTTAAGTAACTTAGGAGTTAACTTTTTGATTAATAAGTAGTGTTCTAATTGGCTTTGCTCTTGTTACTCTAAGCCTAATGCTGGCATGTTCTTATTCCTCTTTGGTATTACTTCTACATATTGTATCTTCAGATTCACATGCAGCTGCAGTGCTGGGGCAAGAAACCATCATCAACTAGTTATAAAATAAAATGGACTTCTACTTTTTTTTACCTTTAATCTACAGCAGCTTTATATGTAAGGGCTATTTTCCACAGTAATAGAGCCTTCAAAAAGAAAGGAGCAGTCAGGGGGGTGGTATTGCGAATTGAAAATTGGCAAGTAGGAGAACGTTGTTGAAGCGAATATGGTTATTTATGTGAGGGAGAGTGCTTCTTTAAAGGTATCTGGTCAAGGACCTTCTTCAGTGCAAAAACAGGATAGTAAGAAAAGGAGGAAGCCATAAACAAAACGTACAGGGACACAAATCTGAGGGAGGCAGTGATGAGAACCAAACCTGGCTGCTGATTGATAAGGGTGTGTGGGAATGTTCATTCCAGCAAACTTATCTGAGCGGGGACCTGCTCCTGGGAAACTAAGGGAAAAAGGGGAACCAAAAATACACAGACACAGACCTAAGAAAACAAAAGTGGAGACAATGACAAGAAACAAACCAGCCAGGCACAGTAATTGATGGGCTATCGAGAAACCACAGGCAGTGCTTCCAAGAAGATCAGCCTGGCTTTTGCATCTGATGAGGCTGTAAACCAGGGGGGATCCCACACACTGGGCTGGGAGGGGTGCGGCAGGGGAAGGGGAGCAGCGGGGGACACAGTGGGGGTAGGCAGAAAGGGGTATAAGGGGGGCTGGTTGTGCGTAAAACTTGTCTGGCTGAGCCTTTCGGCGGATTGCCACAGTCTGTCCTGTCTTCTTACATCTTCCTATTAAATCTTTTCTTAATGTTCTCTTTGCATCATCTCGCTCTCTGCCCCACATACAGGCGTGCTGCAAGGATGAAGTGCCAGCTACTGATGAGCACTGTGCGTGTGAGTGGACAGGGCCGCAGCTACTGGAGTGAGAGGGGATGTCGGCTAGTCGCGTGGGTGGGGGTCTTGGCTTCCAGCCGCGGGGGGGGCGGAAACGGTGAGTGTCCTGAAAACCAGCTGCTGCGGGGGAACTGTGTGAGTGAGGTGAGTGAGGGGCAGAGCGCCGGTGGCTGGAACAGGACCGTGGGGCGCAGCCCGTGTGCCCGGTGCCAGCTGCTGGGCTGGTGGCGAGGGGCGAGCGTCTTATCTTCCTCAAACCTGTTGCGCATGTGTACTCACTGGCAAACTTCAGGCTGGGCCAGCCGGCGTGGCAGGGACCTGCGTGATGGGTATGAGGGCCTGGGGTCTGGGCAGGGTGTTGGGTGGACAGCGGGAGCCGTGCTGGTACTTGAGGGAGCTGTGAATGTGCATGTACTTGTGAACCTGGAGAGTGTCAAGTGTGTGCCTGCACTAGCGACCTTCTGCCTCTGCCAGCCGAAGAAGAGAAGGGGACTTGGTGCTCTCTGCTTGAATTTTGTGTGAGTCCTCCATGTAGGTGCTGTTGAGGGCAGCACCTTGTCTGTGGCAGGCTGTGTGACCCGCTGTGTTAGTGTTCTGTGTGTGTGCCACTGGAATATATGCTGGGCTCTGCTACTGGTTGAACCTGCCAAAGGGAAAGCAGCAGCCATGTCTGTCAGCCTGAGCAGAGACCCCGGCGCTGGGCTCCAACAGCCAGGCCAGAGACAGTCCTTGCCAGAGTGGCTGGGAGAGGCAACCACTTCTGACATCCCTCAACAATTTATACTTTGTCAAATTTTAAGTAAAGATGTCTTAAGTATTTCTGGTTCTGGCAGTGATACTATGTGCTTTTACTTAGCTCATGGTACTCAGGAGCAGAATGTAAGAGATCTCTGTCAAATGGTTTAAGTTCAATGGGGTGGATGACCTTAAATTTCTAAAAAGAAAATTCTATTGTTCTTGATCTTACAAATAAATAAATAAGTAAAGCTTCTTCTGCTTAAGTAAAATATGCTATCACACAGTGCTGCTTACGCTTAATACGTCTCTGGGACTCTATATTTGTGTGCCAGTATCTGAGCTATAGCATAAAGGAGACTTGAAAAATAAACCAATTGTCAATGTTCTATTTCAGACTGAGAAAATTAATGGGATCCTATTGAATTTTAAAATCTACATAAATTAATAGGTCACTGTGGTTTTAAGTGGAAATACACAGCTGTGTTTAATTTGTGTCCAGAAAAAAAAGTGTTGATATCTGTTACCAGAGTTTGCAGGTGTTCTTTGCTGGACATGTAAAAATGCTTTCATTCTTGTAATGCAGCCATTCAGGTAGGATGTCCTTGTCCTCCCTGTTTTCACAACAGTTAATTTACTTAGTTTATTGTAATTGACTTTTGTGAAAGAACGTCATGATCCATTCTCCTTCTTGACATTAAAGGTTGTATTTTACTTTGATGTGAAAACCTTTTTCTGTCCAGATCACCAGGAAGATCTGGTGGTGTGTTGCGCTGTGCTAATTTATCGGGAATTCACTGTTGCAATGCATTTTTGTTGTTAGATTTAAATAAATTGATAGATTGGGCTAACCTTACTCTTAATTCTTTCCTTGCAGCCGATTTATTTTGCACATTCCAAGTGAAGAAAGAGACAATGCAATCAGAGTGTGTTTTCAGATTGAACTTGCCCATTGGTTTTACTTGGATTTCTACATGCAGAACACACCAGGATTACCTCAGTGTGGGATAAGAGACTTTGCTAAAGCTGATATCCTTTTTATTACTGTGATTGTTTCCGTCTCGGTGGATAAAGTGCAAACTGAATATTGTTAATGAAATTTCATACTTGCAGCAGGCAAATGTCAGTTCATGTGTTGGTAATTAAAAGTTAGTATTGCTAGGTATGTGATTTTTATCTGTTCATTGCTTCCACAGTTTTGTGGCATCCACAAAAGAGATGTTTCTCACACTGCTAAAGAACTACGGAAAAAGGGTAGTTTCTAATCTTTGAGGATTTTTCCTCATGGTTGTGCTTTGGCAGACTAGGTGGGTTTCAAAGATGAGCTGTTGGAGCTTGTGCTGGTTTTGACTGGTATACAGTTAATTTTCTTCATAGTAGCTGGTATGGGGCTGTGTTTTGGGTTTGTGCTGAGAACAGTGTTGATAACCCAGGGCTGTTGTCGTTACTGCTGAGCAGTGCTCACACAGAGTCCAGGCCTTTTCTGCTTCTCAGCCCACCCCACCAGCGAGCAGGCTGGGGGTGCACAAGAAGTTGGGAGGGGACACGGCCGGGACAGCTGACCCCAACTGACCACAGGGATATTCCACACCATATGGCGTCATGCTCAGCAAATAGAGCTGGGGGAAGAAGAAGGAAGGGGAGGATGTTCAGAGTGATGGTGTTTGTCTTCCCAAGTAACTGTTACGCGTGATGGAGCCCTGCTTTCCTGGAGATGGCTGAACACCTGCCTGCTGGTGGGAAGTGCTGAATGAATTCCTTGGTTTGCCTTGCTTGTGTGCATGGCTTTTGCTTTACCTACTAAACTGTCTTTATCTCAGCCCACGAGTTTTCTCACTTTTACCTTTCCAATTCTCTCCCCTATTCCATTGGGCTTAGTTGCCAGCTGGGGTTAAACTACAGCATAGCTCTTCATGGTGTTTTGTCTCCTTAATTTAATCCCTTTCCAAGTAATTAGTGACATAAATGTTAATGTAGCTGAAGGTGGTATGTGTTCCCCCATGGGCTGTGCCATGTATTTGTTGGAAGTACTGAAAGTTGCTCCTAGAAACAGTTCTGTTTGTAAGGGAGAGGATGCATTTTTACTGAATTCATATGGTTGGCCTCTGTTTTTTTTCATTTCTCACAAGGGCCACTGGAATGTACACTATCTAGTCCTTGCTGGAGGAAAAACTTGTGACTTGCATCCAGCAAGTGTTTTAGTTGTAACCTTTTCCTATATGTTCTTGGTGTGGGATTAGAGTATTGCTTCTAATTTTCATGATAATATTGGTTTCACTACACAACATACTTCTCTGTTAGTTGATAACATTAACTTGAAATGCTACAGCTTTTATTTTAACAATAAAGTGTAAGAATATGATAATTTTCTGTTGCTTGATATTATGCAGTTATATTTTATTTACTTTGGCTATGTTTTTAATTATAAATGTATTTTCAGACCAACAGAATTCTTCTAGTAATTGTAGGCAGTGCAGGAAAAATACAATGCAATAGATGTTACTTGTTCATTACATCTGTCCCTCTCCAGCTCACATTTGCCAGAAAAATTAGGTTTGCTGCAATGTGGTATTTTTAAGTACTCTGCTACGGAATATTTTTTATTGGTAGTGTAATTTTATATATAATACATAATATTAATACTTTTATTAAGGACTTGCATATTTGCTTTCAAAGTTTTAGAGTTATAAAGGTTGTTCATGTTTTCTCTGCATGGTGAGTTTTGGTAAAGTGTGTTAGAACTTAGATGTCTGTAATTTGATGTCATTAAAACTAATTGTTTTACATAGTAAATACTTAAGTACAGATTCTGTACTGTAGTCTAACAAATGATTGTGGGAAAAATATATCTCCACTTCAAGCAGGAGATGAAACTGTATTTTTGTCTGTCTCACTTTAAAATGAAAAAAAATGTGTTTAAGAATAACATATATTCAAAATAACTGTTACGTGAATACGTTTTCTTTAGAATTAGGGGAGACCTTCCTTGAAACAAGCAGCCTTGCACTGTCTCTTTTTTTTTTTTTTTTTTTTTCCCCCCAAATAGGCTTGTATGAGAATTACCAAATTACATGATGCTTTCTGACCTTTAGAGTTTGGTAATGGATTATTCATAATACTTCCAAGAGAATATGTCTTGAAAGCACTTAGGGGGAGGGAGTGTGGTTATTGTAAATGTTAAGTGGGTATCTTCTGTATGTCTGTGTGTGATCTGAAACTGGATGCTTAAGTTTATCTTCCTTAACATGCTGCTGTACTCTTCAATCACTGTCCTTTTTTACTGCCTCAAGGTGAAGATGTACAAAAGGTTTTAGATGAGTGGAAAGAATACAAAATGGGAGTGCCAACCTATGGTGCAATTATTCTTGATGAGACACTTGAAAATGTAAGTACGGAAATAGTTGTGAAGGGCTAGAGGTAAGGGTGGCATAATGCTGGCAGAAGTAATCTTTTTGTTGTTTACGTTTTTCATCTGGAGAAAAAAAAAGTGCTTCAGATTCACAAAGACCTTGCAGGTACTTGACACTGTTGAGTATGTACAGAAATATAATATGGGAGACAGTACACAGACTTCCACTTGCTTTCCTACTCAGTTTTGGTTTTTTATTCTAAGTTGCATGATCCCATAAAAAATTTCACAGTTCTTGCTGGAACACAGAAAACCTAATGGGTTCCTTCCTCCAGGCTGAAGTATCTTTTTGGAGAAGCAGGGGAAGGTGAAGGGAAGACATTAATAGAAATTGGTTACAATAGTGGGTGTTTGACAGTTGCATTCCCTTGTGTTTTGCAGGTTCTTTTGGTTCAGGGCTATTTAGCAAAGTCTGGTTGGGGATTTCCAAAAGGGAAAGTAAATAAAGAAGAGGCTCCTCATGACTGTGCTGCTAGAGAGGTAAGTTATGTTTGACTCCCTTAAATTCAAGCTAAAGAAATTTTTCTGAGAGCTGGATATATGCGTTAGATGAAAAGACATTTTGCTTTGGTATCTCTTTATTGAAATCATGTAAATAAATAGTCTATTCTCGCAGGAGTTGTCTGCTGTAGCTTTTAGTGCTTTTCTGAGTTCCAGAGTGATAATAAGGGTGTGATTATATAATTTAAAATTAATGTTCAATGTTTTTAACTTTTTGCACTAACTTGCTAAGTTAAGTACTATTTTTAAAGTTCTCTGCTGAACTATCAATTTACTTCTAAGTATTATTTTTGGTGTTTGGGAAATCTTATATACTTTGTGGTTTTGGAATATTTATTTCAAGGGCCACTGTAACTGTAAAAAGGTAGAAGAATAGGAATTTAGCTTATGTACACTGGGCTATGTAAACAGGCTAAAGAGTTGAGTTGGAGATTGTAGAATATTACGTAAAATCATGAAGAGCTCTACTTTTCTATTTTTTAGTGATGCAGGAACAAGGAGCAGTGTATATAGCAAGGAAAATCTGAAAACTAAAATCTGTGGGATTTGTTGCTGATGGAGACCTAGATATATAGTGAAGCTACATATTAAAAATAGCTTGTAAAAGAATATTATTGATATAAATTCAACGTTCATATAACATAATAAATGCAGAATTTTTGAGAGGGAAAATTAAGATGAGTGAAAGTAGTAAGATGCGTTCGTTTTCTTCACGGTTGGACTGAATCGGTGTCTGAGAAACCATGGATTTTTTTTTTTAATATACCTATCAAAGATGCATGAATGAAAAATTCTGTATTTCTGATTCCGTGATGGTGCTTTCCATACCACTCATATTTAATATGGACTTGGAATAGCAAAATAAGGTGCTAGATCTTGACATTGCACTATTATGTGATGGACACACATGAAATACACTTTCATGTTAGCAGGTACTGATTTCTGAGTGTAGAACATTATTTATATAAGTGACTTGCCAAAGAGTGAAGCGCCTGAGCTACAGATGCAGTGGGCTGTCAATGCAGAACTTAAGGGCTGGGAAGGATGAGCAGAGACTTAGTAACGTTGATTATTCAATGCATGTCTCTTTCCCCCCACCCCATAAATAGCTTGTTCAGTTAAACATTTACTAGTAAGGTGCTTTTAGGGTTGGTCTAAAGAACTGACTGAAGGGAGAGGAGATCATAAAAATACATGGACCACAGCAGAGTGGACAGGACAAACTAGGTGTTAACTGCTTCAGGAAGGAATGATGTGAAGTATGACTTCCTCTTTACTTCAGGTTATGCTAGCAAAAGCATTCAAGTGGGCACAGTTATAACTGGGAAAAAAATCTTCTCTCTTTTTTTTTATTATTTTATTTTATTTGGAGAATTGATTTAGATTACACTAGTGAACAAAACTGTTGCTATGATCTTTTCCACCAAGGTAAATGTCATTGTGGGTAAACTGGCAAATTCTTCAATGCTTACATGTGGCTGGAATCAGGATGTCTGTAGTATCTGTGCATAAATCTATAAATCTTTTAACTGCTTTTGCTGGAGTCAGCACAGGTCTAAAACCATAAACGGCATTTGTATAAGCTCTAATTGAAGAGGTCTTCACTGGGCAGTGCCTGTATGGTTCAGTAGTATTTTAGAAGCCAATGAGAGCAAAAATGAAATGGATGATTCTCTTGGTAAAAGGAGTTTCTACAATGAATTCACCTGAATCATCTGGAAAGATCACTTAGGAAGGGAAAACATTAGTGTTAGTAGTAAGAATAAGTATAGAAGAAAAGCATATCTTCTCTTAATTGAGACTGTGTGGTGGGTTTTTATGTGGGGTTGTTTTTTGGTTGGTTGGGCAGGGGGGGGTTAGTTTTTCTCGTAATCTCTGCTATTCTTAATGTAGTTAGATGGGAAGATGGCTTGCTTTTTATTTTGATAGAAGAGGAGTTGTATGTGCTAATGTGAAGTATAACTGGTCAGTTACTTGCTTTGAATTAAAGACTCTTTTTTTTCATATTTGTGCTTAATTTCCTCTGGGTTTTCAAAAATTGAACAACCATTTTGCTGATGCCAGTATATACATCAGTATTTTGCATAACATACTTTGAGTAGTTCCTGCTATTACTATTTTATATGCAGTTATTTGATTCTGTTTTTCATTATATGTACCCACAGGAGATGGGGGTGTAGAGGAGGTTTTACTGAAGATCCTGTCCCTCTTTTTAATCCTAAATCTGGTTTTTAAAAAATTTCGCTAAGGACTTCTGCCTTTGGATTTTTGGCAGTGGGGCTTAATAGCCCTGGAGTTAATATCCAGTTCTATGAGTGATTAATTGTTCACATGCACGTTCCACTCTCTGGGCAGAAATGTTTTGGACAGTGGGATCAATCCTGCATGTTGTCTGAGTACTTGTATTTCCTGTGGAGACTTTGAGGACTAGGAAGTTTCTAAAAATAAGTATTTACTTAGCAAGCTCAGAGGCATGATCTGATTTAAGCTGTTAGGTGTGTTTGACATGAATCTTTTTATATTATAAACCTTGTATATTTGAGAATGTTGTCACAAGTAAATATTTCAATGTAAGGCTTTGAGTAACCTGATCTAGTGAAAGGTGTCCCTGCTCATGGCAGAGGGGTTGGACTAGATGATCTTTGAAGGTCCCTTGCAACCCAAACCATTCTGTGGTTCTATGATCCTTCACAGCAAGACCATAAAATATGCAAAGAAAATGCTCTTTTAAAATATCATTGTCTTTCTAGTAATCTCCAGCAGGTATAGCACTCCTATTTTTTTCTTTAAAGTAGCTGACAATGCAGTTTTAAATTTCTTTGTCAGCGTGAATATGCAGTTTGAATTTTGTAATTAGAGTTTTGCTACCCTATTGCTGGGTTTTGTTACTAACGTAAAAATGATTATATGTATTGGGGGTAGAAGGTTTGTGAAGTAGAAGGACTGTTGAAAGAGAAGAAAAAATGAGATGCAAGTAAACCTTGCTAGAATTTGAAGATGTCTTTGCTCCCCAAATAGTAGTCTTTGCTGTGAATAAGATTTCCATGCATCCAGCAGCATGGAGGAGCAGCTAGAGACTCCTCATCCATGTCAATAAATTGCTACATGAAGGTGTAATAGAGTTGTTTCAACTTTTTTTACAGGTCTGTCTTAGAGAAATACAAAGCACATGGGATCTTAGATACTTTTTCTATTATTGAGCATATATCTATGTGTAAAGGCTTGTCTTTCCCAGTAGTGGCCTGCTTTTGTGGATAGATCTGAAAAATAGTCATTCCTTCCCTTGTGATGATAGGTTCTGAAAGGATAAATCTGAATACACACACTGATTTAATCTATATGCTTCTCAGGTGTTTGAAGAAACTGGGTTTGACATAAAAGAGTATATTTGCAAAGAAGAATATATTGAGCTGCATATTAATGATCAGTTAGCACGGCTGTACATCATTCCAGGAGTTCCCAAGAACACAAAATTCAACCCCAAAACTAGAAGGGAAATTCGGGTATGTGTTGTTTGATTCTATAGGAACCTTGTTGTGGAGCTTGTTTTTTTTAAAGCTAATGGTCTGTAAAATAATGAAGCTACCAAGGATGATGAATACCTCAAATACTAGGTACAAATGGCATCTCTGCACTGTAGGGTCTTGTCAACTTCTTGCAACTCTTCTGCAGACTGATTCTTGACCATGTGTCTGATGTCTCCATTCATCCTGAAAACAACATTAGAGCATACTGTCAAACTATAATTCTCCCCTTCTTTTCTCTTAGGTGGTGTTAGGTGGTGTATGTGTTTAATTTCATGTTATTCCTAGTTATAACTGCCTATATAACTATATATTCTTCTGAAGATGTAATTATTAATTGGTGATATATAAAAGCCTAGATATCAGAAGGAGAAACTAAGGATTGTGTTCTCTCTTTCATGGCTGATACCATCCAGACTTAGAGAATAGTGTATTTTAAGGAGGAGGTTGGGAAGGGGACACAATGGGAACTGTTTTGGATGGTTTGTGTACCATTAGGCTTTTAAAAGGTATCGTGAAAGGGAGAAGCAAGGGTAGTAGACTGTTGGAAACTTTGTTCCTGATATCCATAATCTTTGAAGTTTGAATATGTATCTTGTATTGCAATTCAGTTTGAAACAGCTATCCCCATATTTTTCATGTAGATGGTGCTACTGGACAGGGCATCTGGTTTTCTAAATAGGAAAAGGTACTTCCAGTTGACTAGACAGGAGTCTCTTAATTTCTTGCATGAGAGACCTGTTTTTCAAAATATGAAGTAAAAGATTATGAACTTTGAGGTTTTTTTAAATGTACAGTAAATACCGCCCTTTGTATAATGGTGGCCATCTGCATGGGGGTGATGAAGAGTTCTTACAATGACAGATTTCTGTCTCCCTGCTGAAACACAGTCTTCATCTGATCTAATACAAGTAGGCATGCTGTTTCTCTGTTCCTTGTAGAACTATACTGAAAACCTGTTCAGTTTGTAACTTATTTCCATAATATGCATCTTATCTGGACTTGAGGCTTTGGGGCTAGGTTCTGCAATAGAAAAGCTCATGTGGATTCTTTTATGTGTGTATATTCAGAATTCCTGATTTTGTTCTCATTCTGCAAAGCATACAGCTTTAACAATTAAAACTATAATATATAAATTATAACACATGTTCTATAGTTTACCTGTGGGTTGTTTTATAACAAAAACTGAAACTTGCTCTGCAAACTAAATCCCCTTCTTTCTGATAATTTTTGAACTAGTACTGATGGTCTAGTTTTGATGGCATTTTAAATAAAAATAGCAAGAATAGAGTCACTCTGAAATAGTTAAAGCCTCTAACTTTATTTATGGCACTCAGTGTGCAGTGGTTTAATTTGGTTTTTGAAACCCTTATTCACAATTTAGTTGGTGGATAATACCTTTCATATTTTAGGTGCCATATCTTGCAATGAGTATGTGCTGTGCCATCTCTTACTCTGCAGCTGCAGTCAGAAGAATGACCCCATTGTTAATTAACCTTTTGTGAAAAACCCTGTTGTGGTCTGTTAATTAAAGTCTTCCATTGTAATTTTTTTAATTGAGGGGAATAATTGTGGTTGAAACACATTTGTAACATTCTGTAAGGCTACAGTAGTGGGTGTTTTGATTTTATTTCTTGTTTTTCTAGAATATTGAGTGGTTTTCCATCAACAAATTACCTTGCCACAGAAATGACATGACCCCGAAGTCCAAGCTGGGTTTGGCACCTAACAAATTTTTTATGGCAATTCCCTTCATCAGGTATGTCTGAGATGAGGCAAATGCTAGGCCAGTACCTTTCAGACATGTTTAATTCCTTCAGATTTGTTTTAGTAAGTAGATCTTGTTGCACTTCTTGCTCACAGGCCATTGAGGGAATGGATTTCCCGAAAGAGTGGAGATTCCTCAGATAGCGACAATGGATTTTCATCTGCATTGAACACACCCTCTAAGCCCAACTGGGAAAAAGCTAGGTAAGAAGCAGGTCAGTTTAACACCTCTATATCCTTTCTATAAAACATTGGTCATACAAAGCTGTTTGTTCTTTCTCTTGCTCCAAGTATTTGTGTTCCAGTAATAGAATGGGTTAAAAAAAAAATAAAGTTGTGTCCATATCTCATGGGACTGTAAATAGGATGAGAAGTTAATTAGTGTCATGATACACTTTTTTGGTAAATTCTGACACGTGTCAGAACTGAGATAATTTCTTGAGCCCTGTCTATGGGAATCCAAAAAACAGAAGCTAAAACAAGTAGGTAACTTTCAATGCTTCAAGTTCAATGCTTTTGGCACTTCCATAGAGGAGAAACGGGACTCTCTAAAGTAGGACTGTAAGGTACTATCAGAAGTAGCTAGCTAGATAAAACCTGTGGGGGTTAATAGGGGAACAAGTGCTGCTGGCTTTTGATTCAGCTGAGCTAAAAGTGGTAGAGCAAACTTTAAAACCTGTAGTCCCAAAGAGAAGAACATGCTCCAGTAATTCGAGTCAGGTCAGCACCAACACTGAGAACAACAGGACAAATGCTAATGTGGACCTAGCTTGCTGTCTATGCAGAGCATAGGTTTCATACCAGCAGGCAAAACAAAGCTGGGTGAATGCAGTGAGCATTATTAATTTCCACACTAGGTTACTTAAGCTTGTCTTCCAGATTTTTCTCAAAAAGCAGAAAATTCTTTCGTATTTCTCTTCTACTATCAATAGGTTTGAAGTTGTGTTGTAAAACGTTTGTTTTCCTGTACTAGATCCAAACTTCGCTGTAGTCATCATGTGTTTACAGATGGCTTTTCAGGAGAGCAGTGGGTGAAGCCAAAACAGCCACAGAAGCCATATAATCATCCTGAGATGTCTGAAGTTTTGAAAATAAAGGTATGGTTGTTTCTTAGGCAACCATATGCATCTAAGCTATT